GTTTTGACCTTAGGCTTAGTTTTGACATCAGGTTAAGTTCACTACAGTCCCCCCTTTGGAAATCATCACCTGTCCATGGGGATGAATTCCAAACATGAACTTACGCCTTCGATTGTCCTTGAAGCTTGATGTAATCCAGCAAAGAAACAAGAGTCAAGAGTAATCCAGCAAGGAAAACAAAAGTCAAAAGTAATCCAGCAAGGAAAACAAAGTCAAAGGTAATTCCACAATGTTCTTGGCAATTCCATTGTGTTGATTATAATTCCATAACGTCTCGGTAATTCCATTGTAGCAATGCTTTAACCCCTTGGAAACAGAGTCTGTAATCCATTGGAAAAAGTCATATAATCCACAACGGTAAATCCACAACGATTGGAAGTGTTGATTGATCAGCATACTTAGGAATTCCCTTGGATTGAACCGAAGATGCAGCCACTGGATGAAGATTGGAGACCAACGTCAGGATTGCAGGTCTCCTCCAGCGAAGGTCGTCGCTGGGTGGATTTCCAGTCTGTGCCGTTCTGGTTCAAATGTGACATGCAATTATGTGGTTTAAGGTGTGCTTATGAAGGGGATTTTACATAAGGCCTTAAACTATATGCACCTGGTGTGTAAGCTATTATGATTGGGAACAGCTACAACTACCAGTTAAGGGGTGGAACATGCTGAAAAGGGGTAACTACAGGGGTTTATACCTATAGAAAAGGGGCCCAAACTATTTTTCCATTTCTAACTTGGTTTAAGTTAGCTTTACATGGTAAAATATAGTTTGGTTCAATTGTCTGTTGTCTTTTAGACGAACGACTTGAGATTGGGTGTTTGGTTTCCCATAAATGTTTTTGGAAGTCTATGGCGAGACTCATCAAAAAGAATTAGCTATCCCTCCGAATAGAATTGTTCGAGCAGGTTCGGCTTAAGCGTTTTGAGACCAATGCAGATTATGGTACTTAAGGTAGCCATAATATACATTGACTCCGCAAAGATTGCAATTTAACGAATGAACTGCATGTTGGCATGGTTAAAGGCCTCTTAGTCTCTAACTTAACTACACAACAAAATTCATTCTTGCCTGGGGTGTTCAGAAACAATACCAAAAACCAATTAAACGATGTCTCAACATCGACAAAAACAATGACTAAGCAACCAGTAAAACAACGTTTCAACATCGACAAAAGCAGTGATTAAGCAACTAGAAAACAACGTTTCGGTGCGCCACTCACTCTGAATGTCAGACTTGATCATGTTATCGCGTCTGGTAGCATTATCCTAACTGGCGTCACCCCCCTTCGGTCATGGGAGACCGCGAACACGGGTGAGGACGTCGCTCCATGAGCTAAAGTTAGGCTGTCCTTGAGTAGTTTTAACTGTTTGCGCAGCTGAAAGAGGACTTTTAGGTCTGGATTGAAATCCAGTTTACCTTTCGATGGAGTGTATTTGTCTGGGTCAGTCAGATACAGTATCATCGAGTTAATTGCAGGATCATCAAACTTCTGAAGTTGGATGATGTCTGGGTCAGTTGACAATGACTTTTCATATTTTAAAAGAACTTGGCGAGTGTTGTCTCTTTCTTCATCAGATGTCAGAGTGTCGGCTTGAGCGACCACCTGTTCAATCTGTGATGAGACTGATGAGGGCTCTTGCTCCTTGGGGAGCTCCAACGAATCCTTTTCTGAGTCGTCGGACCTGTCTATGGGCAAGGCACCATAGGTTTGATGCCCTTGGTCGACGTCATTGGTTGAGAAAAGAGCGATGGCCTGTGATGGTTTCGTGAAACATACTGGCCCAGCTTCTTGACTCGGTACCAGGTTATCTGGGAGTCCTCCCAGAACTGGAATGCCTAGTTCAAAATCATGAAAGTCAGGTTCTAAGTTTTCAGCTTGCGATGACTCATCATCGTTTGTGTGTGAGTTTACCCCCCCTTCGTCCGATGATGGGTTGTTGGAGGCAGCAACAGCAATGTCTTGGTGTGTTTCACCGACATCTGTAATGTTGTCATTCGCGCCTTCAGATTTAGTAGCGATCAGATCACTACATTGTGCTCCTGGTTGGATTCCCATTTCAGCATTTTTCAAAGTTTCTACAAACCTTTGTAGTTTCTCTGTCTCCTCCGAGCTCAGAGGTGTAGGGCCTTGCTCCTGGGACCTTTGTGATTTTATCGCCTCGGTTCGTTTCGTCCGAGGTGGGGGAGGGTTAGGTACGTCTTTTGGGGGTTCCTCTTCGGACTTCCCCTGATAATATGGGTCCTCTTGGATCCCATATCTTTGCGTCCTACGCATGTCCCATGTACGATAATCACGGTCATCCTCTGAAAGAGGAGCCTTTTTGTCCCAGCGTGTACCTTCATTACGTGGTTCGTTAGTTTGAAAATACTGCCTTTTCTCGCCTGTTTTAGGAGGAGGTGTCAACGCACTCCGTCCTTCCATTTCTAGGCAGTGGGGTTTAACCTTTACACCAGGAAACACTTCTATGGGCGTCTTAGAACATGCCTCGAACACATTCACTGCACACTGTCGCATTATCGGTGGAGGAGACCTGTTCAGGTCTGTCCCTACCACCCGAGATGAGGGTGGATTAAGAGCAGGAGGTGCAACAACGTCTTTCTGAGGTGTTTGTGGGTGACCTGGATTCTGTCCACGGTCTTCTCTGAGTTCCAGACAAACTCGCCCCACGTCAGAAATCTTGTTTGTTGCTGCGGCCAGTTCCTCCTCACAAGCCTTCAGGCGTTCCTGTGATGTCCGACATTCACGTCGTGAACGCACAACTTCTTCCAGTAATATCTTTTTATGCACTTCGCGTTTGTGCAGATCTTTTTTAAGCACATCTGTAGCATCCCTGGCTTCAGATAGTGATGCCTCAAGTAATTGTATTTTGCTGTTCAGCGAATCAATTTCTGCACGTGCATCTTGCTGTGATTGAAACATCTGTTCAGAATGTTTTTTTGTGAGGACTTCGTGTTCACTTTTAAATTGAAGGAAGTGTTCTTCAATCTTCTGAACCACCTCTTTTTCACTGTATAACCTTAGTGCAAGGTCATCAGCTTTCCTAACAACTGCATAGAATGATTCTTTCAGCAAAATTGCAATTCTAGCCAGCTTTTCATAACTTGACATTGTAATTTCTGTAGAGGTCACAACTTCTGCAACCTCCATCAGATCGTCCAACAACTCTTTTGGGTACATGCTGTCCGCCCGTTTGCCATATGGATGTAAGGAAGCTGTCAGCAGCGCTAACGCATCTTCTAAACAGTCCTGCATCCCATAAGGATCAAAATCCTTTTCTACCACACCTGTCATGGTTATTCACTGTTCAGCACTTTTTCCGGATAAAACAATTGCCAGCTTCAGATATTTTACAGGTAAATAATTGTATTCAAATCTCAATGAGTTTCACACTATTTTAGCTTTGGGTTTACACAAAAGTACTGTTATAAGTCAACTTATTCAAATGTGGGTACCTATCTCAGGTTTTACCCCAATTCATGAATATTTAAGTAAATGCTACTCTGGCAGTGTTACTTTTTATGTGCTTATTTCTTAACAGATACTAGATTACCAAGCTCTTTTTTAGTGTATTTTACTCTAAAGCACTGAATTTTTATAAACCTGCAATTTTTCTTTTTAGTCTCACAGCACATCAGTTTAAAAATGTTTTTAAACCGTTTACTTCCAGAAATTCGCTATTTTAAACAGTTACTCATCAACCCAAGTGGGTGAAAAGAGAAAAGAAAATTGATGATGAGGAATAATCAGTCTTTTTTCAGAAAAACTGTACTCCTTTCTCCTGCCAATCTTCTATTTAAAATTAAATAGGAGATGTAATTGTTTAGGTGGTAAATAAAATCAGAAAAGTCTCTTTTTCCTGATATATTTACTCTTATTTAATGATCTAGCAATTAAACGTGCATTATATTTCCAGCAAATGAGCAACTTATCAACTCTGTGAACATCTGAACCGTATCTTTTAAAAAGTTTCTAATTTTTCATTTTGTCCCTCCTGTTTGAGGAATTCAGTGAATGAAAAATGTCCTGGTAAATGCATTTCTGCATAAATACCTTAATTACTTTTTAAATGCAAGATAACAGTGATTATTCAGCTGTGAGGAACGTTTATTAACTCAAAAATGCGTCTTACAGAAATAAAAAACGTTTAATTTCACTAAAAACCTAAAACTGAAGTGAAACTGTGATCTCAAGTTTCTCCAGGAGGGGGCAGTGTTTAGCTTTCTACCATCAGGAGTCTATGACGACTTCCTGTGACGTTCGGTTGACATCCTGTTTTTAGCCGCTTAGCTTAAAGTTAGCTTCGGCTAAACTCGGTTAAAATCAACATTTCTGAACGGTTTTAAAGCATAAACGTGGCGTTGTTTCAACAAGCACGACTTTTATGCATGAACACGAGTTTTATGGGACATGTGGCAAGTTACATTTAGTGATTTTAAGCACAGCAAAGCTTTCGGTTGCAACCGAGCTCATTTCCGACATGGAGGAAGTGACGTGACACGTCACTCATCCGGTCGTTAGCTGTTAACTTAAAATTAGCATCGCTAGCGTTGTTCAAAAACATCATTTAATGACGGATTTTAAACTCAAACGTGGCAAAAATCCAGCGATTACACTTTGAAGAACTTAAGCAGCGTATCAGAATACAGCTTTTAAAGCGTTTTTGAACTTTAAAAAGCAGATTTTATTCCCTATGAAAACGAGTTTTCATTTCCGGGTCACGTGACTGAATCCACCAATGACAGAGCAAGACGGGGTGACTGACACGTCTCTCAGCCAATGAAAGCGTTACACTGCAGCTAACTCAACCAATCACGGACCGTTTTTCCAACTAGCATGTTACTGTTAGCCTGAAATAATTCGACAACTTTTCGCCTTTTAAACTGTCAAAATGCACCAATTTCTGTTACAAGTGTCACGAATCAAGCTCTGAGCTGCACGGAGTCGGCGCCCCGGCATTAAAAACGTCTTTCCCACCATTTAAAACAACCCGGTCGAACTGTTCAGAACCGAGCCGGAACCAGAACCGAACCTCCGTCCGGACCACAGTTTAAACAGAGTAAAGCGTTTCCACACAAATCCAGCTTAGTTACACATAACAGACGTACAATTTCAGCTTTCATAAAGACATATGACTCACAATTTCAGCTTCAAAACATTGCCAGCGTAAACATGCAGAGTCAAGCTCCAAGCGGCGCAGCTTCAGCTGCGTTTCAGCACAGCTGATTCTCTCTGCACTTCTTTTTCATGCCAACATGGAATATTCAATCTTTACACGAATACACAGTCCATTTATGAACACGTCACGGGCCACCAATATGTGGTGGAAACGTACGGACGGGCCACCAATATGTAGATGAACAGATGCTGAGATATATTCATCAATTAAAACGGATTCTTCATTTTTCTGGACTGAATAAAACGTGCATCGAATTTAATGAAATGTAACGTGAGACGTCATTTATCTTTGACCCATCAAAATGAATGTGGTCATTTATTTTACAGAATCAAAGTTTAACATCAAACATTTACATTAATTTGGCAAAATATGAAAATAACAACATCATTAATCAGCGAGCTGTACAATTATGATCAATTATCCACACGGCGGTGGATGAGAACTTTGCTTCAGACATTTCTAAAAATTATCTGTAATGATTTTAGCAGATAGGAGAGTTTAAAGATGGAAAGATGGAGTTTAAAGGAAGTAAAAGATGGTGTGTGAGGGGGAGTGTTGACCAGAACCGACACTCTCCATTCGAACCCAGCTTTTCCTCGGTACGCTCGGTAGTAAACTTGACTCATTACCTCTCTGAAGATGAATCAGCAGATACGGAGTTCCAGTTAACGCTACCTGTCCAGCGTCTCCATAGGATGGCTGTGACTCGTCCGAAGTAGTGATGAGATTCCGTCCGACACAAGCTCACCTCAGCAAGTGGACTTCACATGAGTGGAGTCCTTCAGAAGTTCCACTCAGAGGTGGAAGATGTTATAATCCAAACTCGGAAGAGCCTTATCATGGCTGGACTTCTGTTCTCCCAAACGACTTCACAGAACTGCGAACATCTCAGAACTCAGAGAACTAGGAAGTACCGGCATTTAAAGGGCTCTATTTCCGGTATATTTGATAGTTCCTGATTGGTCAATATCAACCAGACAGGGGTGTGGTTTGTGACGTAAGAGGTTACTAGAAGTCAGAAAACAGCAAGAATTGTTATGGAACAGATTAAACTGTTCTCAGAGACAGAGAGAGTTTTGTTTTGGCGAGTTTGGAGAAACAGGTGCCAACTTCTCTGTTGACGTCTGAGAGGATGTAAACAAGACAGTTGTTCCAACACATGTCTGC